TAATTTTTTTAAATTTATTTATTTATGATAGTCACACACAGAGAGAGAGAGAGGCAGAGACACAGGCAGAGGGAGAAGCAGGCTCCATGCACCGGGAGCCCGACGTGGGATTCGATCCCGGGTCTCCAGGATCGCGCCCTGAGCCAAAGGCAGGCGCCAAACCGCTGCGCCACCCAGGGATCCCGTGAGGTTCGTTTTTAATAAGAAGTCGTTCTTCCTTGACCCCGCATTTAACATGGTGTGACCCCAGGGAAGCACCTGCAGGCCCCTATGGATCGTGGGGCACTGCCCTGCCCATGCTGGCGCTCCGGCCGTCCTCCTGCCTCTTCCTCTAGAAAACCATTTCCCTCTGCACCTCTGCAACTCTTCTTTTTATTTCCACCCAGGTTCCTCCCCTCCCCAGTGGCCTCTCCACCCACTGTCAGTGAGACAGGCAAACATTTGCCTGTGGTCTTCCTTCTCTTGGGTGGAAGCTACTCTTGTGTTTCCCTAAACAAAGAGAAGAGGCGAGAGAAAGCTGAGCTTCACAGTGTACACCTTCCCCGTTGCCTTCTCCTTTATTTTACAGTTCATATTTTGCCCTCTGTTAGTTTCGTTTAATTCCTTTTCCCCACCAAATATAAGATGTTGACATGTTTTCTGGATTCTGGGCGCATCTTCCTTTTTCGGTGGCCTCCCTTGCAGCCTTCTCGGAAATGTAAATCCCTTTCTTGCCTGAATATGCCCTAAAATAAAGATGTAATTAGGAATAAAAACAAACAGGAGAAACCTACGCTGGTTTCCACACATCCTATGGAAAAGGCTATAACTGCCTATTTCTTAAGCTGCTGGGTGTCAAACTCGATGAATAATTTTAAAAGATGTGAATGGTGTGATAAGAACGCACCTGTCCGTCTGAAAGAAGCGCTACGGAGACACCTAGGTGTGATGATGATACACGGGTGGTTCTGTAAATACTGAGACCTCAGACATCGTGTGGGTTTTATAAGGTCCTCTAGATGGCACTTACCAGACTTTTGTTTCTGGCGAGGGCAGGGAGCTCGACTTTGGTTCTTCAATTCACTTAATTTTTGTCTCCCTTGATTTAGGAAGTCAAAACACTGACCTCATTTCTAAACCTCCACAGCCTCCTGGGATCACCATCCCAAAGTTTAGGCCCCGGGTATGTTTGTCCAAAGTGTCGGGGCGGTGAGCCGCGTCATAGGAAGGAAGGCTGGTGCTATTTTTAAATTGATGCAACACATCATTGAAACATATCATACACATGTCATACCAATGACACACACGCTGCGTTGTAGCATAGCATGTGTCATACATACATTCTCTCTCACTCATACACATACTTGTTCTTCTTGTCCGGCTTTCAAAAAGGAAGGCAGCCAGAAAGCCGAGCCCAGTGAATTGAGTTGGAAAGGCTGTTAAAGCTTAAAAACCAAGTGTCCCTCTAGTTCTCAGCATGGCTTTGAGACATGTGGGAGGGCTTCAAAGCCGTGGCGCCCCTCTTTCAGAGCTCCGGCTTGCAGTTGGTCCCCAAATGTTTACCAGCGTGAAGATGCCTAACTTGCAGGAAGTGGGAAATGGGTGTGGGGGGTGAGGGTGGGTGGGTGGGTAGGGAGTGGGGAGAAGAGGGTGGGGGGGGTGTTCTCTTGATGTGGTTAGTCTGTCATTGACCTTGTTTGGGTATAGCAGGAGTTGAATTAGAAAATGAAAACACGTTTCTTCTTGGGCACATTTCATCCCATTTTTTTACTTTCTTTAGGAAGACCTCTCCCCCCCCCCACCCTCGCCAAAAGTAGAGTCAGATCTCCAGATTTGGTACCCGGTTTCCCTTCATTCTGTCTTCTTCCCCACACAGTCATCTGGCCCACCTACAGTGCAATTCCTAACCACCACCCCCGCACCCCCAGGACCAGGCCAGGCCCACTAGCTTAGGCTGAGTAGCAGGGGCTTGCCCAGAGCCGTTGGGATGAGACCATCAAAGGGCATCATAGACGGGGGTTTCTGAGAGCAGAGCTATGTGGATCATTTATGATTGGTCACCACTGTGCACACTCTTCATGAGAGAAATCTGCCTCACAACAAGCGCCGATGAATAAAAGTAACTGGGCTTGTCTTGTTTGGTTTCGGTGTTCTAACAGGGAGGGAAATAATATATAGTGACCCAAAAGGCATCAAGTGGTTATTGAGAAACAAACATTTTAAGGCTTAAGATTCCGGACCATGGTGGCCTTAGATGGTTCTGGGTGCACAGCTCTACCGATACCAACATCTGCCTGCTTTGGTCAGAGTTCCAGACGTGGTACTTGGACTTCCAGAAGGGGTGAATGAAGCTCAGAGGGTCGCCCCCGTCTTCTCCCCACTGAACTTTTTCCGTGTGGGACCATACCTAAATACGACTATAGGAGCATGCTTGTTCTGATGGGGGCAGGCTTCCTTTATTCCTTCTTCCTTCCTTTTTTTTTTTTCTTTTTTCTTTTTTTTTTTTTTTTTTTTTTTTTTTTTTTGCATCTTTGGTTTTTCATTACACGATTGCCTATCCTTGACTACCACCACTGGTGTGGACATTGGGGTACCACTTTAGACAAGAAGCAAACATTTGAAGGATTTTCTGGTTTAACACTAGAATTGTTAAAATGGACTTTCCTTAAAGTTCCACTCGTGGCCTTCTCCAGCTCAGCTGGAACACCTGGAACTAATTTTAGGGTTGCCTGGCTAAGCCCCACACTGGTATTTGAAGTTTGCGTCCTCCCCTAGACTCAAGCCCATTTCACCACCTCTGAAGGTGAGTGCAGGCTGATATTAATTAACAGCGAGTTGATTCACTGGCATCTTCCAGTCATTAAAGTAAACGTTTGGCTCAAAATAGTCTCTTCCCACCTCAAGTATCCAACGTTTTGGCCCATTCCCTTGCTCCACCGTGGTTGACTCACCAGCCCTTGCACGGTGTGGCCCAAGAACAGAGCTTGATTCTAAAAGGGAAGTGAAATACTCTCTAACATCTGCAGGCGAGACTGCTGGAACAGCAGGCCAGCCTTCAGTATGACTACATTGTTTTTCTGTCCATTGTGGCGCTGACTCAGCATCAGTTAATAAACCCTCTCGAGAAGGCTGGATTTCTCTTGTTTAATTATCATCTTGGAGCTTTCTGAGAACTCTTAGGAATTGTTCATTCAGTTTTATACCCTGAGCACATCTGCGGGATGGAAGGTCCCGTTTCCTCTTGGTGCTAGCGTCCCCTCTGGCATAACGTGGAACAGCAGCCGCCAGGCAGCCAAGCGGGGAGTGTGTGTTACTTATGTCCCCTAGTGGGAATGTAATTGTTCTGTACTACAGAGATTGTGGAGAGGACTTTCGACGCAAAAACCATTTCCTGGCCAATAATCTTTGCCTCCCACCCCCACCCCCACTCCCAGCCTCCCAGCCTCCCAGCCTCCCAGCCACCCACCCGCAAAATTCTAAAAAAAAAAAAAAAAAAAAAGAGAGAGATTTCCTAAAAGAGAGGGGGGAAAATGTGAAAGATAAACAGGCATATTTTTATGATCCAGTCGGGCTCTTGTTTTTGCTTTGCTTTGTTTCCTCCTGTAAACAAATACTCAAATGTCCACTTCATTGTATGACTAAGTTAGTATCATCAGGTCGGGACTGGGTGTGTGTATGTGGGTGTGTGTGTGTGTGTGTGTGTGTGTTGGGACGTGGGTGTGGATGCACACGTGTATTTAAAAATGTCAGAAAAGACATTGCAGCCGAAGGTGGAAGGAGAGGCGATTTCAAAAACAACCACCAAGGTGAGGCAAGCAGGAAAAGTGGGAGACTTTGTGTTTCAGTGATCTAGACGAGTGATTGTGATGGGGTGCCTGCTATAAATGGACTCTGCATCATTGTTTCTCTGAATTAGAGGATTCCTTGCTGAAGGCACAAGACCATTGAAGGAAGTAAAGCATCTGGTTTGTTTTGTAATGAGAAGCAGGAATGCAAGGTCCACGCTCTTAATAATAAACAAACAGGACATTGTATGCCATCATCACAGGATGTCCTTCCTTCAGCAGAGGGACTGAGTGGGGCTGGAGGAAAAGCCGGACAGGGCGTAGCGCGAGCCCCACTAATTACTGCCTCCGTCTGCCCTCCGCTTGCAGTGATCAGTTCAACATTCCCTGGAACCGGGAACCGATTAATGCTCTGCGCTTTGCTCACACGCTCCTCCGCGGAAGTCTGGCTGCGGGTTTGGGGCGGACACACACACACACACACACACACACACACACACACACAGCAAAGGCCAAGACTCTTTAAATCTGTAGGATCACAACTTGTCCCTAGGTCCCTATTGATTACTAAGCGGTCGGAAGAGGCAAGTTAGTTCTGCCCAGCCAGATCTGAAAGTACTTCGGTCAGCAGCAGACTGGGAAGCGGAGGACTATTTGGGGGGGATGGATGGATGGGGGGATGGATGGATGGGGGGATGGATGGATGGATGGATGGGGGGGATGGATGGATGGGGGGGGCTTGAGACCGCTCCCTTTTCACTACGAGGAGTGCAAACAGAATTCCGCACGCTCTCTTCGGGTCCGTCTTGTGTGTCCCTCCCAGTGCCGAGGTGAGCTGAAGCTCTCCCCCCACCGCCACCCATAAAAAAAAAAAAAATCAGGTCACTTTGAGGTCTCCCTCGTTTTAAGGAATGCACAGGGCGCGGGGGGCCCGTGGAGCGCCCGCGGAGCGCCCGGGCAGGGAGGAGGGCGGGAATCGACGCCGCCCGAGCCCGCGTGGGGGCTAAGCGCGCTCGGAGGGGGGAAGTCAGAAGATTCCAGGGAAATGTTGAGACTCGCGCGCGCGGAGGGGAGGCGGCCGGGGCGGGCGCGCGGGGGGAAAGCCCTGGGCCGGGAGCGGGCGGCGCGGCCCGGGCGCGTTCAGGTGTGGCCACGCCCCCCTCCCGCCGCTGGTGGGAGTGAATCAGACGAATGGGAAATCTGCAGCGGGGAGGGGAGCGGAGCGGCGGGGCTGGTTAACACAGACCGAAAGCGCCGCGGCGGCACTCGGCCCTCCAGTGCAGCGCGGAGGCCGAGCGGGCGCCGCACCTGTGCGCCGCCGAGGTCGGGCGGCCGAGGCCCGGCGGGGAGCGCAGCGCGTCCGCCCGCAGCCCGCGCGGGGGCGCCGACGGGGATGCGCAGCGCGCGGCGGGCGGCGGCGCGGGCCTCGGATGCCGGACCTCTGCTCCGAGCAGCGCGCGGGGACGCCCTCGGTAAGCGGCGCGGCTCGCCCTCGCGCCCCGGGCTCGGCGGGGCGGCTGCGCGGTCGCGGGGACGCCGGGGGCCCGGAGCTGTCAAACTCGCAGCCCACTTTTTCCTCTCCCCTCCGCCCACCGCACCCCTGGGAATCCTTAACCCTTTCCGTTCGAGGCGGCCTGAGGGTCGCTTCATGGAACATTTCCCCCTGCCCAGCCCGCTCCTGCTCCCGCTCCTGCTCCCGCTCCTGCCCCTGCTCCTGCCCCTGCTCCTGCCCCTGCCCCTGCCCCTGCCCCTGCCCCTGCTCCTGCCCTGCTCCTGCCCCTGCCCCTGCCCTGCCCCTGCTCCTGCTCCTGCTCCTGCTCCTACTCCTGCTCCCGCTCCTACTCCTGCCCCTGCCCCTGCTCCCGCTCCTGCTCCTCCTCCGGGTCGGCCGGGTGTTCGAATTTCGCTTTTTTCCCCCTCCCCCCTTTTTTTTCTTTAAAAGATTCTCTTTATCTTAACGTTGACTTGACACCGCGACGGGTTCGCGTTGGAACTTAGTAAAAAAAAAAAAAGAAAGAAAGAAAGAAAAAAAAAAAAAGAAAAGAAAACAGGCAAGTGTGTTTTAAAAGCGTGGCTGGCCTCCGCCTCCTTTTTGGAAGAGCATCCTATTTAGGGGAAGCCTGAGAGGACGGGAAGGAGCCTTCCATCCACCGACCGGGGTGTCTACCTTCGGAGGCGCTCTAACGTGGAAACGAGGCCCGTGTTTCTTTTTTTTTTTTTTTTTCCCCCGCGAACATCGGATGGGAAACCGAGGCAGGAGTCGTTCACCTTCCACCCCCCCCCACCCAACCACCACCACCGCCTTCCCCGGAAAGCCCTGCTCCCGCCTGCGAGGGGTTGGAGGGGGTGCGGGGCATTTGCGGGAAGATCCTTATCAGTGCACAAGTGGCCGCGCAGCCCGTCCCGTGAGCCCTGTGTATTCGCTGCAACTTTAGTTACAGTAAGCCGAGGCCCATCCGCGACTTCTGGGAATTCGTACACTTTCAGATTTAAATGGAAAGTGCTATTTGTAGCTGAGGGCTCCTCAAGGAATTCTCTGCGGGGCAATGCCGTGGACGAGTTCGAGGCTTTGTTTGTGCTTTTGCAATTTGGGGTGAGATGCTCACCACCGGTCCAAGGAAACTGCCAAGGAGTCCCCCCCCCACCCCCTTTAACCTTCACCCTCCCCCCCCTTTTCCCCCCTTTTTCTTTTCTTTTTCTTCCCTTTGCCTGCTCTTTTTCCTGTGCTCCCGAACCATCTCTGAAAGGCTGCAGCTCGCTGGGTGATGCTGGCAGGATGCAACCCTCTGCAGCCTTCCCTGCGAGAGGATGAAAGGGAGCGCGCCGCGGAGGGAGGGGGGCGGCGAGTTGTTTTGAAAGTTGTTTTGCGTTGGGAGCTGGTGGGAAAGTTCAGTCTTCCCCATTTGGGAAAGGCTGGCCGGGTTCCGCTCCTGCCCCACACGCGCTTTCCATTTTTAGCTTCATTCAGAGGCAGACAGAGCTCCTTCCTCTTCCTCTCCTTGTTTGTGACACTCTTCTGAGGCAGCTTTTCCACAGCAATGAGGGTCTGGCGGCCATGACCCCGGGCGCCCTGGGAGCCCTGGGCCTAGGCCGCAGCACCCCGGCCTCCTCCTGCTGTGAGAGGTAAAGCCAGGGATTGCTCCGAGGTGCTGCCTTTTGCTTTGCTTTGCTTTGCTTTGCTTGCTTTTTTGTGCTTTTTTGTGTATGTGTGTGTGCCTCCCCCCCCCCCATGACTTTGCCACACAGTCTTGTCTGTCTGTCTTTCTTTTTTGAGAACTAAGTCAGAGTAGCATTTTAAAACCCTGCTCCCTCAAGCCAAGTCTCCTTTACGCGGCTTTCGGGCTCTTACTCAACTGTACCAAGCGCTCTGCATCTGCTTTTAAAGGCCTCAGCCTCTACTGTATTAGTCATAGCCTCTCCGACGGCCAGAGCCACGGGACAATGGGGATTAAAGGCCTTCTCCCCCCCACCCCCCCTTTCTCTCTCTCTCGCAGGCTGCCCCGAAGTGTAGCTCCAGTGCTGTGAGGTCTCCCCGGTTGAGCGACGGGACCATGAAAATGGACATGGAGGACGCAGACATGACTCTGTGGACAGAGGCCGAGTTCGAAGAGAAGTGTACCTACATTGTGAACGACCACCCCTGGGACTGCGGCGCCGACGGAGGGGCCTCGGTGCAGGCAGAGGCATCCCTCCCCAGGAACCTGCTCTTCAAATACGGCCCGAGCAGCAAAGAGGTAGGCGCCTGCTCTCTTGCCCAAGCAGACTGGCACCTGACGCAGCTCACGCAGCTCTGCCTACTGCTTGCCACCCCCCCCCACCCCAGGGTCTGCGAAGGAGCAGTAAATAACTGATGACTTAATGCGCTCCTGCTCGGCCTTCTGGGTTCCTCCAGCCCCCCACTGTCCCATCCTAATTAGGACACGGTTCAGTCTTGCTGGCAAGTTGACACATCTTGGCAGGGCCCCACTGCAGCACGAGGCGGCCAGGACACGGTCAGCGGCCTTCGAGCAAAAGCCACTGTCCACCCTGGACTTGCTGCTCCTCGTCCTCCAGTGGTACCATAGCTTGGGAGGGGGAAAAAAAAACTTTCTTAGGAAAAAAAAAAAAACTGGTTCGTGTTTCTTTTGTCTCCTTTTGGTCATTAGGTGGCTTTATTCTTTTTAATGAGCCGGCTTTATGAGCTGGGTTTCTAAAATTATGCTCAAAACCTTGACGTGTTTATGAACTGAAGTGATGGTAAAAACCGAGAAGGGGTTCGTGTAAAAGTGTCCTCTGTCCGGATGACTTCAGAGCTAACCACTGTTTATCTGCGGCAGCTCCTTTGCTCTGGCTGGGCTGGCAGGCCGATTCCTTATTGGCCTCTGAAGTGGGTACACTCTTTGTTGTTTCAAAGGGGCTGGAAACCCAAACTTGGAAGGAGCAAAGGATTTGTGTTTACCCTTTTATATAACGATTATAGCGAGGCGTGATGTTTAGCTGTGAAATAACTCGCAGAACCACCTCTGGTGAGAATTGAGCCACTGCAGTCAGTCCTCACTAGACTACAGCTGAGCTTGAGGGGATCGACACCCCCCGCCCCCCCCCAACAGACTTCCCACCACCACAACAACCGGAGGGTCACTGTCATTTCTGTGGCTGCCTCCAGAAAGAAGGGATTCCTTGCTGTAGAAATCCACCACTGGATCCTGGGACTGTTCCCTGGAGCCCTATCAGATCACTTTTCCTCCTTCCCCAAGGAACGGTATTTTGAGGAGTCGGGGGAGCCTGTTGGGGAAACACTTGATCTCTTTCCTGTTTGTGTGTCTGAGTTCAGGGATTTTGGTGAGGGGGAGACACAGCTGTCTAAAATTAACTAGAAGCAACTCTGCTTTGAGTTTCATTAAAGCTTAATTTTTCCCCCTCCCCCTTGGTGGAAGAAATAGAGGCAGATTTTATAAAAAGCAATATTTAAATTGGAGTTGTACGTGAACGTTACCAAAACTTAACCCCAGAGGTCGGCCTTAATTATACCTCTTTCTGAGAATAACCCTCCTTTCAATAGAAAGCCTCATAATATGTGGCCAGTGGAATCAATGTGGGATTTGTTTGGCTAGTTAAGCTGTGGCTTTAAAAGGTGTAGTGTGTTTTTTTCCCATATCTCATTTGACCAAATATTGGTCTGTTCCCAGGGTTCAGTTTATGCCGTGTTGCCCTGTCCTGCCCAGTGCACTGAAGTCAAGACCTCTGTTCTGTGGGTCATCTTTGCCTTTTAATTCTATAACGTTCTTATCCTCCGTTCAGCTCTTCGCTTGTTTTTCGATTTCCATCATTCTACTTAAAAATCATAGCTAAATAAAGGAATGCCCTCAGATCATTAGTGCAAGGCTCAGAACGATAGCTACTTGCCCGAGATGTGTTAGTGAGCAGCCAGCCCCAGCCGCGACTAGAAGCAAAGTTCTGACTTCCCCAGCCAGTGCTTGATTATGCTGCACTGGCCCCTCTTGGTGTCACTGTGGTTTTATTTATCGTCTTTACATCTTTCAGACTGATCCTTTATTAAGCTTGTTTGGTTTGTTGTTTTTTTTTTTTTCCTCTGAACTTCTAACTTCCTATTTTGGTATGTTCACACAGTGTCTGTATCCCTAAAAAGGATCCTCCAACATTAACCTAATAAGAGATCAGGGTCCTCCTGTACTATTGTCCCATATTGTATTTAACTGAAACACTTGAAAATAATACAGCTCCAGTTCCTAATCATCAAAGTAACCAGGAAGCCAACTCAAATGTCATGCTGTCTCACACTTAACTCTGGAATTTGTACCTACTCTTCTTTCTCCTTCCTTTCTGCACTTTGGGAAAGGACAGCTCCCTTACGGCGGTGAGAGAGGCACGTGGCATTGAGCCACTGAGGGTGTGATACCTGCAAGCCAGTTCTGGGACGGAAACCTTCAGAATGGATGAAATGTTTACACTGACATTATTCAGTTAGTTCTTTCAGTCCCGCCAGCCATAGAAGGGGGGGGAGCCTTTCTACGTGGGGTTTTTATCTCCCTGATTTATCTTGCCCTTCTTTATATGTTTTCATTTAAGTAACAGAAGATGTTACACTGTGTGCTGTTGTGCTGACATACTTGGGGATTTTTTTTTTTAACAAGACCATTTTTCATTATGAATTTGTGCTATGTGTCAGCACCTTTTTTTTTTTCTTTTGGTTTTAAAAACAAAACATACGAACCAAATTTCTGATCTTGACCCTCGGTTTTAGATTTGGTTTAGAATCATTCTGTACCTTTAATGAGCCTGTTCTTACTTCCTATTTCCAGAACTCAGACCAAATATAGACATACTATTCAAAACTTTTAAGACTTTTTTTTAACTGATGGGTTATTCTTTTAGGGGGATTTTCCCCTTGTCCTCCTGAAATAATCTTCTGTGAATACATGAATACAGACAGATCAATTTCAACAGTTATATTTTAGAAGCAGTAGCCTGTATCGAGTTTGCTTATGTTCAAGAGGCACAGTGGCTCTGAGTCTGACCTCCCAGTCATGTGGTGATAAACATCAGACCGGTGATGGGGACTCACCGAATGTCTATTTTGATTGAAGTCCATTATTAACTCAAGCCATCTGTAAAAAGTATCTCTCTGTAACCTGCAATTCCCTCTTCTTTCTGCTGCTTTTTATTTGTGAGACAATGTAACAAGGCATTACCATGTTTCCTTTAATATAAAGCTAACTAAGGAGGGAATCTTCCAAAAACCTCTCCATCCATCCCACCCCACTCCCTTTTTTAAAAAAAATGAAGTGAATTACAAGCTGAAGTCTTCGTCCACTACAGAGTTCTAGTCATCTCAATGCAAATGTCCTTGTATTCAAAATAGAATTTTAATTGAATAAGTCATTCTTATGGGGGGGGTGGATTCGGGGAGGGGAAGAGATAGCTAGTAATTAAAATCGCATCTTCATGTAATTTAGGGTGAGGATGCTCATACCACATTTAAACCCGAGTAATGTTCCTGCTTAAAGCCCACTGCTGTGTGTGTGTGTGCATTTGTCTATTCCCTAAAGGAGGAATTGCTTCAAAACAACAACAACAACAAAACCCAAAAAACCAAGTTCATATTCTCCTTGATATCAGACTTTCAGCAACCCCCATCCTAAGTTGTGAAATCTTCGTTTTGTACAGTGAAAAACAAGCCCTTTTTTTTTTTTTTTTTTTTGGTCTGGAAACTTCAGACATCAGGGTGTGTTCTCTAACTGAGGCCACTGACTAGAGACAGATCTGCCCAAGCAGTGGAAGCACTGGCTCCCAGCATCATGCGTCGCAGGGAAGAGCTTGATCAAGGGGCAGCAAGAGAGGAGGCGAGGAAGGGTGGAGGCCAGGGTCTTCTCCCAGATAAGCTTCTGGAAGGCACACAGACAGCAGCCTGCCCCTGGTAATAATTCTTTAGGACCCTGGTCAGTTCCTGAGTAGGTTTTTTTGGTTTTTCTTTTCTTGGGCTTAGGGGAACACATTCTTAATTAGTCTGTTTAGCACTGTGAAATCCAACGCACACATCAGGTTCCTCTGTATCACGTGCTTCTCCCGGGATAGAATGTTGTTGGTTAAGATTCACATCTGGACCTTTCTGGGGCAAGAGGGGAGAATATGACTTGGTCTTCCACTTCCCATTAAAAACAAGCTTGGTTCCTATTCCCCCTCCACAGTTACCTACCCGAGCACTGTAATCTTAGAATTGCAGCCTGTATGTCCTTTTTTGAATAATGTCTCAGACGTGGATTTGAGATGAAGGTATTAAAAGTGCTGGGCTGGGAATGGATAGGCATGGTGTATAAGCTATACAATTCCTTCCAACCTTGAAATTCTATTATCTTGTGTCTCTGTTCATCCACTTGTGTGAGTTTATGTGTTCCCTATAGCTCGTGTATAATAGAGCTTAAAATAATAGGGCTCTGTCCCGCTTGTAAAGATAATCTAATACCGAGGCTCTTTGGCTTTTTTTTTTTTTTTTTAATTACAAAATGCTCACCACAATAAGTGTAGGTTCTTTTATTTGTTTGGGGCTTAAGGATTCTCATAGACTTCTCTTCCACCACAGACCCTCCTCTTTTTAATTGTTCTCCTGTCTTGCTTGCTTAATTGCATTTGTAAGGTTAGAGATGGCAAGTACTGTCTTCCAGCTTCCTCAGCGATTTACTTTATAGTTGTACTCAAATTGGTGCTGGGTGATATGTCTTCTGCAAATTCTTTTGTAGGAATAAGATCCTAGTCGGTTTCTTTTTGGCCATAAGAAAACTTGATGTGTTTTCTTAGTGTAAGATTGATAGATGAGAACCGAGAGGCCCATTGGTTTTTTTCTTTAAAAAAAAAAAAGAGCAATTCGGAAGGAAAAAAACCTGACCTCAATGTAATGCTACTTGTTGGTAATCAAGCTCTGACTCCTAAGACACTGTCTGCAAGAGACTATAATTTAAAACAAAGTTGATGAACCAGTTGAGTACCTTTCTTTAAATTACTGCTTTAAAGTGGATATGTTGAAAATATCAACTGCTAATTATTGGCTCACCAACAAATGACATTATTTGTTTTTCCTGTTTGTCATTTTGATATTATGGAATAATCTCTCGAATGTGAATGCCAAATGCTTTGCGTGTCATACAAGTCAATTCCATGAATTTTTCAAATTAATTAGGTTCATTAATGTATCATCAATAATGATCCTCTGCATAAGTTAAGTCTACTTAAGCTTTCGTATGTATTTTTATCTCAAGACTGCTCTGAGGTACTCCTGTCCCCAGTAGTTTTACTGCCAACAAATATCAGTAACGATGAACCGTATTGAAAGGGCACATAAATGTAAATGAAGGCAGAGGAGGAGGATGAGATGAACATCTGCTTTTTTCAGCTCTCTGCCAGAAATTCATAAAGTACCAAAAATAACACTGTAGCTCACAACCTTGTTTCAACTTGTGTTAAGTGTAGGAAATTTTCTTTCTTTCTTTTTTTTTTTTTTTCTTTTTTTCTGTCTTTCCAGTCTGGGTATGCTCTATTGGCTTGTATATTGAATATTAAATTGTTTTTTAAAAAAATCATTGGCTGATAAGAAATGTAAATGAGAAAGACTGGACTGTTAGAACCACGGAGATGTGCTTATTCCATATCCATTTAAACAGGTTTAAGCTCTTGAGGAGATTTATCGAGGTATCAGTGTATCTCACACCTAAAATCTGAGATTCCGCTGTTGGACTGCATGTATTGATGCATGTATTTGGACCTACACAGTTACGCTGGAGCCACCGGGTTTAGTAAAACCTGGAAGTGAATATTCTTTTCCCTCCCCTCTTGGTCCATTTCAATAAGGTATTCATTAAGTAATTTGTAGGAGGTTTTAGACAAGAAAAAAAAAATAATAAAAATGGGAAAGTGACTGAATAAAAACCAGCATGAAACTGTAACTGCAGAATGTTGCACAGACTATCTACAGAGGAGTTCTTTTGAATAGTGATGAATTGCTTCCTGATTCGTGGTTGGTGATTTTTTTCACTCCCTTAAAGAAATTTACGATCAAGGAGGAACTGGCATAGTTAACATGTTTCTTTAGCAAGGCCTTAGTGTGATACATCCAGTCTGAGAAGGTCATTTCCTCAGCTCTTAGAACCCACAGCTCTCAGAACCCACAGCTCTCCTCAATATAAATTCCATTTCAAAGGACGACTTTTGACCACTGTTGAGTAGAAGATGCTAGAGGAGAATAAAGTTACTTGAAAGATCTTACTTCTATTAAAGAGAATTTATAAGTTATGAAAACACACACACACACAAACCTCATCTGGAATGAAAAAAAATATATATAATGTGTTTTGCTTCTGGTTCCCTAGGCCTTTGTAGAACAACCGAAGAGCATTATTTTGGTTTCTGAGGTTAAAACTATTTTATTCCCCTCAAGCATGCAGTGTTTATGGTTTGAAGAGAAGGAGAAATAAGAAACTAGGAGCAGGCTGAAATAGTTTAATCTTGACCGTCTACTTCTGTAGTACCTGATTCTAAAATCCGATAAAACACTCTGGTTACCCTCTCTGTTCTTCTAGTATGAAAAGTAATCATAAACATGAAAAAGTCACCAGAGAATAATCCTTTAGACTATTTTAATGCTTGGTTGGGTATTTGCTTATGATCTGGGAGCTAGCTTAGAAGATGGCTTCCCCCTCTGATGAAGCTTGTTGTTAAAATTATGTAGGCACCATTGATAACTGCTCTCCCTATCATAATTTTGTCATTGTTGGTTGTACTACCACTTGACAATTCAACGCAATAAAAACGTTGGTTAATATTTTACAGTTGAAGTAATTATTTCATGTTATTCCCTTTAGGTTATTGGAGTAGTGAGTAAAGAATACATACCAAAGGGAACACGTTTTGGACCCCTAATAGGTGAAATCTACACCAATGATACTGTTCCCAAGAATGCCAACAGGAAATACTTTTGGCGGGTAAGTAGGGGAAAGTTCTTTCAGACTCCTTAAGAATTAAGGGGAAAAAAATGGAGTCAGAATTGCTGGGTCACTTCCTTTTTCAAACTGTACTGGGTCTTAACCACAAGTCTTCAGGGCCCCTGTGGACACAGGGAATTGTTAGCAAATGTGACTGAAGCTGGTTAATTGTTTGGCTCTAGAAATGCAGCCTGTAGGTGATTAGGGATGGAGATATGGACTATATGTGAATCTTAATTTTTGCAATTCATTAGAGCTTTGTGATGAAAGGAAACAGTTTGCTGCTTGCTTCAAGGGTAGGTTCATTTGCATTTCTCTGCAAGGAAGTAGTAATGAGTCACCAAGCCTTAGATTTCACCCCTTCTTGATTTCTTGCTGAGTTAACTTTAATTGAATGGAAGAGTAATCGTAAATGAATTAGCTTGAAAATAAGCTAAATAAATGCCGTTAAGGAAGGATGGGTGGAAGATGCCACCAGAGGAAGGGAGATGACTGGGACTGTTTTTGCGCCTGCCTCCTAAAACTATTGGGTTTGACGGTATGTAGATTACCCCCGTAGCATACGGGAAATGCTTACAATCTTGTGAGAGCATAAAAGTCTGGCCTAAACAATTTCCTTCAGAATATCAGGACTAGAAAGGACCTTAAAGATGCAGGTGCAGTTTTTGAGTAAAAAAACCCTGGATTAGCAGGGAACAGAGACCAAATTGGACTGCTTTCCATCTTCCCATAGATCTCTCTCTAGGATATTGTCTCTTTCTCAATTAGAAAATAAAGATACGCTTACTAAATTTAAAAGTAATTTTTTAATACATAACTTGCATAAAACGTACAGGACGACCAAGAAGCATTATTTGAACTCTTTTAAGAACCAGCTGCATGGTAACAACCAAACCTGGATTATACTTCTTTTGGCCGATATTTACCCAGGATGCTTATATCTTTTGGGGAAGTATCTCTGAAAGACTTCTGTTTGGGGATCATTCAGAGATTGTTCCACAGAAACAGGTTTTTTTTTTGTTTTTTTTTTTTTTTAAATCCGGGAAGTTTTGTGTTTTTCGAAATTCATTTTTACCATTTTCCAGACAAGACAGAGCACTAAGAATGGTTCACTAAGAATTGTGTGCTCACAATTTTTATTTAAGAATCACACATGCCTGAAATATATTAACTTTGTGACTTCTAATGGGCAAAATGTCAGTGAGTGCATTTTTGCCTTTATTGCCAATAAAGCCTTCTCAGAAGTGAGCCACAGAAGTGTGTGACTCTTGGGAGTCAAAAGTCTGAATTAACACCATCCAGGATAAGAATTAAGGCATGATCATTTTTTAAAGAGGCAAGAAATACGTTAAGAACCTCCTATCTCTGTCCCGGGTTCCCTAGTCACTAAAGATTCATCGTTAAGTAACCAAAATGCTCTTCTTGGGAGGATTTATATGGATCAATCTTTCACATACAAAGGATATTGTAGGAGAAAAGTCCCCACATGTTGTTAAAGGCGTCCTGAGTTTGCTGGCAGGAATATGAACATCTGTTGTAAGGAAAGAAAAAGTTTCATGCAAATTACACAGTCCAAGAAGAGTAGGGATGTTCCAGTTGAGAAACCAGTGACATTTCTTGTAACTGTACTGTGAGTCAGCACATTTTTAATCTTCCTGATAATACACGGCAGTGTAGTGAGGTGAGAAGGAGCAGCGTTCGTTTGACGTCTGCGTTATTTTATTTTCGCGTGCGTGTGTACATATGACTTCATGGGACAGAGGATACAGTAAATCGTAGTCCATGGAAGGCTGACTGGAATCCCATACCGGTAGCTTTAGAAAGCAGTCTCCGCCCAGTGAAGAGTGCAGAACGATGGAACCCCATGTTCCTGGAAGTTTGCACATCAGAGTAAACAAACTTGAAAACCCCTCTTGATAGCAGAATTCACCCGGCCTTGTTCCATTTTCTCTTAACAAAACACACCGCAAAAGCTCTCACAAGCTGCTTTGATGAAGCCACATGTATTTCCCCCTTCACAATTTACAGGAAGTTACTCTTAAAAGAAAGTGATTCTGGTGTTTACTGCCCGTGTTAAAGGGACAGAGTTCCTTTTTGTTTCTGATAACGTTTGAGTGAAATACAGACGCGATTTGTAGACTTAATCATAGTCAGTATGGGACTAGGAACAAAGCCGTGACCTGCTGTCGGGTCAGAGCAAACCTTCTGCTCCGAACTTCTGCTCCCTACTACTTGAAGACTACGGGTTGCAGATAACCAGGTATTGGTCGTACACGGATAAGGAGATTTCTTAGGTCTGAAGAGAACGTGGTACGCCTTACAAAAAGACGGAGAGCGAGAGGGAAAGGGCATGTGGAAGGGTAAGGAGTTCGCTTAGAAAGGAGTTTCAGCAGCAAGGATGTAGGTTCGTAAGTTTTCCTGTTCTTACCTCTGCCTTTTTACCAAAGAGCCTGCGTGCATCTGCTAACCAGAAGCGGTATTACCGTGGGGCCGACTCTGAATTCTTCAGGATGCCTTGCCTTTAAAGACCAGCACAGTTTCTTCCTGTTCTTTTTTTCGGGAAACACATGCCCGGCGCTCCGAGGCTGGTGTTTCTTAGCCAGCCACCTTACAGATCAGGGGGCTCCCTCTCCCCTCCTTGGGCTTGAGAGAAAAGTGCAAGGCTGAACGTGTTTATCAAGAGGAAAAGTGACTTCTCAGTAGACTGTCAAATCCTGGCTTCTGTCCCGGTGTTCGCTTTGTTATGGCAGGTGAAGTTCACCTTTGCCCCACCCAGTGTTTCCACAAAAAGGCAGGGTTCCAAGTATTCATATGAACAAGTGTTGCTTCTGGACTTGGAGGCTTGGGGGTGGAGGATGTTTGCATAGTTGAAGCCTTGGGCGGGGGTGTAGGAAACGGCAAGTACAGAGGCCAGAGAAGAAGTTGAGAGACTCAGTTTGACGTATTCGGTTGGCCTGGTCTTCTACCCGGTGACTCAAAGCATTCAAAGTCAGCATAATCGGAACCCAAGTCAGTCGCTTCGCCCATTTGCCGGTCACGGCGGTAGCAAAAGTCGTACTCTCTGGTGGTTTGAGCCGGCCGGGGCAGCTCCTTAAATGAAATGTCGTGTTTCGTTCTTCTGTCATTTTTCCCCAAACACGAAAAGATGATAAAACTGAAATGGAAAAGGTAACTGACAAAAGTGCGCCTTACCTGTTTCCGTCCTTATTTCTGCTGATTCAAGACCGCTCTGGCTACCCGGTTGCATCCTTTGTCCCAAGTGGGCAGCAGGGGAATGAGAACTCCGTGTTCATTCTCACAGGGGCCGGGGGAAGCTTTCCACTGCTTTGGGGCTGCCTTTGGTTTTCACACGGCTGTCTTTTCATTTGGGCAGATCTATTCCAGAGGGGAGCTTCTCCACTTCATCGATGGCTTTAATGAGGAGAAAAGCAACTGGATGCGCTATGTGAATCCGGCGCACTCTGCCCGGGAGCAAAACCTGGCTGCGTGTCAGAACGGGATGAACATCTACTTCTACACCATTAAGCCCATCCCTGCCAACCAGGAGCTTCTTGTGTGGTATTGTCGGGACTTTGCAGAGAGGCTTCACTACCCTTATCCCGGAGAGCTGACAATGATGAGTCTCAGTAAGTGGATTACAGAACAACAACAACAAAAAATTAAAAATGCCAGTAATGTCAGTTCTGCCCCTATGAGCTAATGACATGTTGTTTAATTATATGGCTTCGTTTGTTAAGCCAAGTAGGTGGCTTAAACAAGGGACTAGGAAAAGGGGAAAAAAATTTTTTTGTAGTCCCTGTTCCCCAGTATGAAACCTGATCATGTAACGTGGTAAAAGCTATTTTGAGTGTTTAATTCCGAGAGTTACAGGAAGAAATAGATGTCTAATTCTAATCTTTCCAAAAGGGGGCAGGTCGGAGTATAAAGGGGATTGGTCCTGACATGCCTAGTATGCAAGGTATAGCCCTCGTTTGTGGTGATTTGTCCGTGCTTACAACGTGTGTTGGAATATCGTAGAGATGAACATTTGGCTGTCAGTGTATGGGCTGATGTAGAACACATCGGATTGTTTCTAGAAAGACTCACAGCTATAATTTTTTTTTTTTTTTTTTATGATAGTCACAGAGAGAGAGAGAGAGAGGCAGAGACACAGGCAGAGGGAGAAGCAGGCTCCATGCACCGGGAGCCCGACGTGGGATTCGATCCCGGGTCTCCAGGATCGCGCCCTGGGCCAAAGGCAGGCGCCAAACCACTGCGCCACCCAGGGATCCCCACAGCTATAATTTTTAAAATATTATTCTAAATGGAGGGACGCCTGGGTGGCTCAGCGGTTGAGCATCTGCCTTCAGCTCAGGGTGTGATCCCTGAGTCCCGGGATCGAGTCCCTCCTCGGGCTCCCTGCGAGGAGCCTGCTTCTCCCTCTGCCTGCGGCTCTGCCTCGCTCTCTCTGGGCCTCTCAGGAATAAATAAATAATGTCTTTCAAAAAAAATTCTAAATGGATAGCTCAAAGATTTTCTATATCTTAGCTTCCTTCTTCATGTGAATAACCTAATTATCTAATCTCCTGATCGGTATTATGGTAGCCACCTCTCACTTTAACAAATTCTCAGTTCCTTAGGTTTATAAGCTTTTACTTTTTTATTTGCCTAAAGTTACTGTCACTACCCTTATACAAAGGGTTACCTCATTTTAGTCATTCTCAAGTGACCTCTAGGAACAATTTAAGAATTACCATAAAACTCCAATCTGTTGTAATTATGGTTGTGTGTTCTTGGTTAGACTGGTATGTTTTAAGGAAGTTTTTTAAAAATTTGATCCTCTTGGGTTAAACGTTTTGGCATCTAAGTTTTTGTAACCTTTTTGTTTTGGTACGATTTCAAACTCAAGGAAGAGCTGCGAAAATAGTACAAAGAATTCCCAGGACCCTTTACTCAGGTTCACCAATTCCTGATAATGCACTCTGATTTGCTTTACCTGAAGGCCCGATTGTTCTGGTTCACATTGCCACCTTTGAAACATTTGGCGTGAATGTTCATTTTAACATTAGTTAGAATTTTGACTTCAACTTTAGGACCAGTTAACAAACTCCTTACCTGCCCTGGTCAGGATAAGCCAACTCTGGAGCTAGCTGGTGCTCACCCCACACTGTCTAGTTTATCTGATCTCCCTCCCTATGATCTCAGTACTGTATTTATTTGCAGTTTTCTGAAAAGCTTATGAATCTCCTTCACAGGATCACCTTTTAAGTTTGCATCATGGTTCTCTCTCTCTCTCTCTCTCTTTCACACACACACACACACACACACACACACACACACACACACACACACTTTGGGTTCGCCTTTGAGCTTCAGGAAGAGGTCTTGAAATAACTGGAAACAAGCCAGCTTCCAACAGGAGCATGAGGGGTGAATCAGGTCCTGACCAGAGGTGTCAGTCTTTTTCCCTCATGTCTCTTCTGAGCTCCCAAGAGTCTGTCGTTTGCACTGAGCATCCCAGGAACCCCAGGAACCATTCAACTGTTTCGGCATCTGCACATGCCAGGCCCACCTCACAGGGCCCAATGGTAAAAGGCAGCTTCTGTTTTAGCAGAGCCTCTCACAGGAAGATGTGCTTCCTCCTGACTTTCTCAGCATGGCAAGTCCCTTCTTGAGGGTCTCCTTACACTTCTTGAACTTAATCATTCGGGTATTCAGAGACAGGCCTAGGTGGTGTTTTGTTTTGTTTTCCAAACAGTAACTCCATTTGAAGTGACCCCCCCATCCCCGTCCCCCCAGTGACTTTGCACCAATCCCGAAGAAGCTTTTTCACATACATCCTTCACCCGGTGTAGTTTCAAAGGCCCTGCATTTTTATTCCCCCGAAGAAAGGTTTTGCACAGTATTTAAGATTCAAGTGCTTATTCTTTGTTCAGAGCAGAGTCCATGGATACCGTGAAATGACACTTTAGTTCCCACAAACACCCCTTTTTTATTTATGCAGAATTTTTTCCTAAATGCTGGTTTATCAGGTATCCTTTCCTTGTCCAGCATTCATGGTAAAGCAAGAGAGTGAACAATAACCAGTCACATTAAGCCAAGACTCCTGCTGCCGATTGTGAAACCAGTTGTCTTAGGTGTGGTAACCGATGATTGAGCCTCTGATCAGGAAAATTTCCACTCTTTCATCAGGCCTAATAGGTAGATTGTGTCTTCAAATAAGTTGTGTTGGGTTTCCATGCTTCAAGCACAACAGAGGTCTGTGCCAGAATCTCCGTGGGGACTTTAAGTGGCAGTGATGGTTCAATTGGTAGAATTTTGAGAAGAGATTCGAATTAGACTGAGAGGTTAAAAAAAAAAAAAAAAAAGTAGCCAGAAATCACAAGTTGGCGGGTTTAAAAAAAAAAAAAAAAAACAAAAGGAGTAGAAACTATTAAATTTAACTCTTATCCCTCCCAAGTTTTTTGGTATTTTTTTCCCTATGTATCTAACCTACCCATCTAGAAAACAGTTGACCAAATTATAGACTTCTAAATGTTAATCTGCTTTCTCAGTTTCAGTTGAAAACAGACTTTGTTTTGCCTACTGCAGAACTTCTAGGTTCTTTCTTGTAGTCTTGGGGGTTCTTATTATAGATCGAAAATGTGAGTCGGCATAATTAAGCCATTCAGAGCCTTCAGAAGCAGTTCACTCTTGAAATGACTCCGTCCGCCTACAGCCATTTAAGATTTAAGAACAAAAACAGATCTTGATTTTCTTCTTCATGTTAACTCAAGCTGCTGCTGAGTGGGAGAGTCAGAAATGACACCAGCTCTACTGATTACTCAGCTGCTGAAGGATGATTTTTTAAAATGTACCTTCACATAGACTCCACGACTTCCACCTTAGAACATGTTAGGGGGCTAACGTTTCCCTCTGGACATCGTTTTGGAGGGAGACAGACATTTATTTCTGTGGAGGCGTAAGCCGTACCGAGCATTCATTGTGGATTTGCGATATGCTGGGCCCTGTGTGCTAAGTATTTTGCATGGAAAATTATAGATTCTGACTTTCCTGTTTGCTGGCCCAATCATTAGCGTTGTTTTAATAACCGAATTATTAAGGTGTGCCTGGTGAGAACACCTGACTAAATAGGAGGGACGGTGCTACTGATGCACGTGCACTTCTTGCCTATGGCTTTGCTCTGTTGAATTTTAGAACCAAGAGAGTTTTGAGGCCGCTGGAAAAATTGATGAGTCTGAGGGAGAATTTGCCGCATGAAAATGGTGAAGTTTCTTTCTGATGTTCATTTTATGACAGGACCATCTTTTTTTTTTTTTTTTTTTTTTTTTTCCCCTAATGTGCGCCCAAATGGGTGCCTCCGGATTGTTCTTTTTCACCTCCATAGAATTCCTTCCTGTGGCTGTGAGATGCCTCGCCTATCAGTTTCCCGACTTAGTTGTCTCTCTTCCTTTACCATTTCAGCTTTAAAAAACAAAAGTGACAATTTGAACTTCCTGCCTGCTGGGCCTCACTGAAAGACTGATATTGGCCCGATAAGGGGTTATTTATTTTGGTTTAGTGGCTTCAGAAATCCCTCTCCCTCGACAAGCCTTCCATCACGGCCCCCATCAGCATCTTCCCTGATAGTGTCTTGGCTGTGTTTATTCTGGGGCTGCTGGCTCACCCGGGGGGGAACTGATAACAGCTAGCAGGAGATAACATTCTCCGAGAGCCTCTCAAACTGGAATCGAATCCCTCAAGCCTGTCAGCCCAGAGAATGGATTTGAAGAGTTCAGAATCTGGACTTCCACAGAGTTCATTTCTAGACCTATCAGATATCAAGCCTGGAGTGCTTTCTCAGTGAAATCAAACGGAAGCTTTCTTTTTGCGGGGGTGGGGAGGGTGGGGGGGTGACCTAACGAATGATGCTTTTACAGAGGCTTCAGCATGGTCCCCCAGACCTGTCCCCTTCCCATGCCGAGGCCAAGAGCTCTCCCCTGCCTCCCAAGGCATCCGCACACATGGATGGCTCATGCCTCCAACCCCCTCCTCCTCCTCTTCCTCCTCCTCCTCCTCCTCGTGGGGCAGCCGTTCCGTTGGGAGTGATTGCCCTCTGATAACCAGAGCTCCAGGGAAGCAGCATCTGTTTTACTTTTGATTTCCAGGGAAGTCTGAGTGGGGAGTTTTTGGCGTTCTCTGCTCTGATTGGTCTTTCCCCAAAGGCATCGTGTGCTCTGTGTGCTCGGAGGGGCAGGGCTGGTGATGGCCTGGAGAGTCTGGAACTGTCCTCAACTGCTGCTGTTCCTAAGTAGTGCATTTACCGAGTAATAATATAGAATAAATGCTTTCATCTTAGCTGCCTGTTTTCTTTGGTGCTCTAAGTAATTGGACTGGCTCGGGAAGTGCCTGTTGTGGTTTGGCAGAGATGAGTATGTCACGCCTTGTGATTCCAGGGGACAGCGTTGCTGGGAGCCTGGTCAGACCAGAACAGAGAGCCTCGGTGCCATTCTTGTGTTGTCAGCAACCCCATCGGAAGGGGTGGCATCCACATCGCTAGTCTATCTGGCACAGGCAGTTTGAAGAGGGTTTTATCAAATTCATATTAAACAAGAATGGAGGCGAAAACTGATGACTGCTCGTTACTTGAAATGAGTCTTAATCTTTCACATCTCGTTCGCAGGGTGTGCTGATTTCCTTTCGGTGTACTGCGAACATCAGAATGACTTTTATTAACCTCTGACACCCCCACCCCAGGATTTTTCCACCCCATTTCAGTGGAGGCTCCCCCTGCTCTAGCTTGAACAGCACTTTTCCATCATACGTCGCTTTTTACCGGTAGAAACCTCTTCGCTGGAGACGTTGCCGCTTTCCCCGTTTGGCCCAGAAGGAAATGGAGCGAGCGGGCCCCGAGCCCTCTAGAAGGACAGGGCGCGGAGACGCCAGGTGGCTGTCGCTTGCGGCCCGGAGAGAGGGCAGCTTTGGCAGTTTGAGTCGAGTTCTCTGGAGCCCTTGGAGTAACCGTCCTTTCTTTTGTTGCAGCACAAGCCCAGAGCCATCCGAAGCAGCCCAGCGCCGAGAAGAATGACCTGTGCCCCAGGAACGCCCCAAAGCGAGAGTACAGCGTCAAAGAGATCCTCAAGTTGGACTCCCACCCCCCCAAAGGGAAGGACTGCTACCGCTCCAACATTTCACCCTTCGCCGCCGAGAAGGACGCGGACGGCAGCCCCGAGATGCCCTTCTACCCCCGGGCCGTCTACCCGAGCCGGGTCCCTCTGCCCGAGGACTTTCTGAAAGCCTACGGGGTGGAGAGGCCCACCTACATCACCCGCTCGCCCCTGCCGTCCTCCACCACCCCGAGCCCCTCGGCGAGAAGCAGCCCCGACCAGAGCCTCCAGAGCTGCAGCCCGCACAGCAGCCCCGGCGACACCGTGTCGCCCCTGGCGCCCTGCGCCCCCGACCACCGGGACCACCGGGACCACCGGGACCACCGGGACCACCGGGACTCGTTCGCCTACTTGAACGCCCCCTACGGGCCCGAGGGCCTGGGCGCCTACCCCGGGTACGCGCCGGGCCCGCACCTGCCGCCCGCCTTCATCCCCTCCTACAACGCCCACTACCCCAAGTTCCTCCTGCCCCCCTACGGCGTCGGCTGCCCCGGCCTGGGCGGCGTGGGCGGCGTGGGCGGCCTGAGCCTCTTCCCGCGGCTGTACCCGGTGTACGGCAGCCTCCTGGGCGGCGGCGGCGGCGGCGGCGGTGTTGGCGGCGGCGGCGGCGGCGGCCTCCCGCACCCCCTGCTCGGCCCGGCCTCGCTGCCCGGCTCGCTGCCCTCGGACGCGGCGCGCAGGCCGCTGCAGCCCGACCACGCGCGCCAGGTGCTCATCCCCGCGCCGCACAGTGCCTTCTCCCTGCCCGCCGCGGCCGCCAGCATGAAGGACCGGGCCAGCAGCCCCGCCAGCGGCTCGCCCACCGCCGGCACGGCCGCCTCGGCGGAGCACGTGGTGCAGCCCCACGCTACCTCAGCGGCGCTGGCGGCCCCGGGCGGCGACGAAGCCGTGAATCTCATGAAAAGCAAAAGAAACATGACGGGCTACAAGACCCTGCCCTACCCCCTCAAGAAGCAGAACGGCAAGATCAAGTACGAGTGCAACGTGTGCGCCAAGACGTTCGGGCAGCTCTCCAACCTCAAGGTAGGGCCCCGGCGGCCGGCCCACGCACCTGGCCCACGCACCTGCGGGGGCGCCTGCGGCGGCACCTGCGGCGGCGCTGGGTCCGCGCATGCGCGCCCGTGGGCCGCTGGCTCCGGCACCTGCGGCGGCGCTGGGTCCGCGCATGCGCGCCCGTGTGGGCTGGGCGCCTCTGCGACCGTGGGAGCCCCGGCCGGGACCAGTCCGTGGGGGGGTGGGGGTGGCGGGGGGATGGGGGAGGTGTCCCTTTGCTTTTTTAATATTTTTTAAAGATTTTATTTATTCATGAGACAGAGAGGGGTTGGGGGGGTGTCACTGCTTTTTTGAATTTTTTAAAGATTTTATTTATTTATTCATGAGACCCAGAGAGAGGGGATGGGGAGGTGTCACTTTGCTTTTATATTTTTTTTAAGATTTTATTTATTTATTCATGAGACCGAGAAAGGGGGGGGTGGGGGAGGTGTCACTTTGCTTTTTTGTTTTTTTAAGGTTTTATTTATTTATTTATTTATTTATTTATTTATTTATTTATTTATTTATTTATGAGACAGAGGGGGAAATGGGAGAGGTGTCAGTTTGCTTTGTTTTTTAAATATTTTGTTTATTTATTTATTCATTCATTCATTCATGAGACACACAGAGAGAGAGAGAGAGAGAGAGAGAGAGAGGCAGGGACATAGAGGGAGAAGCAGGCTCCTGCAGGGAGCCCGATGCGGGACTCGATCCCGCGACCCCAGGGTCACGCCCTGGGCTCCCTCTCCCAGGCAGGCCCTAAGCCGCTGTGCCACCCGGGCGTCCCGTCACTTGGCTTTTGTGCCGTTTCCTCCTGTGCCACCTGGGGCCAGTGACTTCCCCGCCAAACCATCCTCTGGATGCTGCAAATGGGGGTTTGGGCTAGAAGAGCAAGTGGAAAGTGCCGCTGGCCTGTGGCTTGTGCTCCTTTCGCTCAAACAAAGCAAAGCGTCCCGAAACGCACGGGGGCTCTATTAGTTACTTCTGAGCTTTGTCGGGGGGCGAGGGGGGGCTGTGTTAAGGTGCCCGTGCCATCGGTGCCCGGGCCTTTGAGCGGGAATGCCAGGGCTCCCCAGCCCCGGCGCAGGCCTGACGCGAGCCTTCCTTCCAGGTCCACCTCAGAGTGCACAGCGGAGAGCGGCCTTTCAAATGCCAGACTTGCAACAAGGGCTTCACTCAGCTCGCCCACCTGCAGAAACACTACCTGGTACACACGGGAGAGAAGCCACATGAATGCCAGGTGGGCAGGGTTCGCCGTCGAATTCCACCCTTTGTAGAAAATGTCTGGGGAGCGGGCCCCGCGGGTCCTATCGCCCGTGGGTGAACCAGCGCAGGAGCCCGGCTGGCCACGGGCCTGGCACCCCCGTATCTGCGATGTGCAGAGGCGGTGACCCAGCCAGCTTCCAGTGGGTGGAAGATGGCAGAGGAAGTAGCCGCCTCCTCGCGCGCAGCGTGCCCACAGCTCCCTGTTTGCCTAATGCCACACCATGGGTGCCACAGGGAGGCTGCTCGCCCCGCAGGTTGCTGGGCGTTGGTATGTAAGCTCGCCCTTCCCACTGGCACCTAACTCTTAATCTTCTGGTCTTCCCGTCTCTGCCCTCTTCCCCACGCTGTAGGTTTGCCACAAGCGATTTAGCAGCACCAGCAATCTCAAGACCCACCTGCGACTCCACTCTGGAGAGAAACCTTACCAGTGCAAGGTGTGCCCTGCCAAGTTCACCCAGTTTGTGCACCTGAAACTCCACAAGCGCCTACACACCCGGGAGCGGCCCCACAAGTGTGCCCATTGCCACAAGAGCTACATCCATCTCTGCAGCCTCAAGGTCCACCTGAAGGGGAACTGTCCTGTGGCCCCAGCCACGGGGATGCCCTTGGAGGATCTGACCCGGATCAACGAAGAAATCGAGAAGTTTGACATTAGTGACAATGCCGACCGGCTGGAGGACATGGAGGACATCGATGTGACCTCTGTGGTGGAGAAGGAAATTCTGGCTGTGGTCAGAAAAGAGAAAGAAGAAACTGGCCTGAAAGTGTCTTTGCAAAGAAACATGGGGAATGGACTCCTCTCAGGGTGTAGCCTTTATGAGTCATCAGACCCATCCCTCATGAAGTTGGCTCACAGCAACCCACTACCTCTGGGGCCTGTAAAGGTCAAACAGGAAACAGTTGAACCAATGGATCCTTAAGATTTTCAGAAAACAAAAAGTGTTTTGTCTTGTTTTGTTTCTTAACTTATGACTTGGCAAGTCAGGGTGCCTGTAGCAAATGCTTGTACATAATTCCAGTTCTGCAAAGCTCTCCTGACAGCAGATGGTTTCCCCTCACCTCTCTGGAATTAAAGAAGGAACTCCAAAGTTACTGAAATCTCAGGGCATAAATGAGAAAAAGACAATATATATACATATTATATATACTTATTTACACCCCCATCTATATATTTGAACCTGTGTATTTTGAATATTTGTGTGGATATGTTTGCATAGCCTTCCCATTGCTAAGACTATTGCCTAGCCATAATTATTTTTTCAATGATAATCCTTCGTAATTTATTATACAATTTATCGTTCAAAAAGCAATAATTAAAAAAGTTTACAATGACTGGAAAAATTCCTTGTAATTTGAGTTATAAATGTTATAGTTTTGTCTTGTGGCCATTCTTTGTAGATAATTTCTGCACATCTGTTTAAGTACCTGCAATTTAGTAAACAAATACATTACTTCGGTTGACCTCCCTCTGTAATAATGGTTTGAAAATGAGGTTTGGTATTGCCAAAGTTAGACAGTTGATGTGTTAACTCATAAGATCTGTCATTTGAACAGCATTGTGTAATGGGGGGAATGTGTGCAGTTACCCAATAATAACTTCAGTAGAAGAATTAAGAAAGGGAATCTTGTGTGTTTCTGTAGATAGTTCCGAGTCTTTTCCCCCTTGCCAAGGATTTATCAGAAAGGAGACAGGAAGGCTTCGCCAACCCGTCTTCCTCTCCAAAAAAGCAGGGTCACCCCATCCCAAAGCATGTGACCATTCGGCGTGGTCACGTGACCTTTCCATCCCAATGTATTATCTGACAATGTGAATAAGACAAAAATGCCATGTTTAAAACCACCGCAAAATTTTCCCAAAGCACAGGTGGTTTTGTATGTGTGAGGTTTGGGGGCTTGAGTCTGGGTGTTGTTTTGTTATTGGGATTTTTTGTTGTTGTTATGTCAAAATTGCACAAACATGGTGCTCTACCAGGAAGGATTTGAGGTAGATAGGCTCAGGCCACGCTTTAAAAACAAAACAAAAACAAAAAAAAAAAAATGAGAAACGGGTATTCTTGTTGTCTTAGGGTAAAAGCAGGCAATGCACATTCCCATCCCCAACACATCAATTGTATTTTTTTTCTGTAAAACCCAGATTTTCCTCAGTATTTGTGTTTTTACATTTTATGGTTAATTTAATTAAAGATGAAAGGGCATTGCAAAGCTGTTCAACAACAATTACCTCATTGAGTGTGTCCAGTAGTGCAGGAAGTGATGTCTTATCTAATGATTCGCTACTCTAGAGGAGAAACCAAGTGTGCTCCCGAAAGATAGAATGTGTGCCGTCTGTCTTTTCCTCTGCTAAGCCCAAAGATGACAAGTCAGCATTCAAGGTGTAGCGAAGAGTGATGTATATTTATAAATCTATTTATACCACTATACCATGTGTATATATAATATATTTATAACCACTTAAATTGTGAGCCAAACCATGTAAAAGAACCTACTTTTTCCTAAGGGCAAAAAAGGAAAAAACCATCCTTTCTGAGGCTTTGCTTAACACTTGACCTCACAATCACATTGGTGAGCTTGGGCACCCCTTTGCTATTATTGTAAGAGACCCCAAAACCTTGGTGCAAAGGTGGGGACTGTGTAACAACCAGGGAGAGCGAGAGATTCATCATCTTTCACCAGTAAGGGCAGTCGGAGATGGCTTGATTTTTGTTTTGCCACATTATGATTATGTGGTCACACCCAAGTCACGGAAGTAAAGTCCCATTACTCCCTTTACCACGGTTAACTTTTCTCTACCTCTCCTTCCTTCCTAAATAACTGATGCATCACTAATCAGCCTGGTTTATATAGTTAGCCTTCTATTGATGGCCACTAATGTCAACCTGCAGCAAAGAACAAACTTAGGATAATCCAGGGAAACCTCAGAGCCTTACTGATCTGTTCCTACAAGTGGCAAAACTGACAATTTTTTTTTTTTTTTTTTTTTTTTTATGGATCAGTGCTTGACAAACACCGTCCTTAATTGTAGGTAAACCAAAGCATCACACACTGACATCGACACCAAATACTCTCAGTTCTGCTCATTTGTTCTCTTCTTTCCCCTTTTATGCTTTCTTATTTGTGGGTATTTTTACCAAGACCTGCACGGCTTGAGACGTCTTGATTCTCTTCACCATTTGACTTTCCCTCGTAGGCCTCTTACATGTGAATGTTGAGCCCACAATCAACAGTGGTTTTATTTTTTTTCCTCTAATCAAAGTTAAAACTGACCAAAGTTATTGGCTTTTTACTTTGCTAGAACAACAAACTATCTTATGTTTACGTACTGGTTTACATTGTTATTTATGTGCAAATTGTCAAAATGTAAATTAAATATAAATGTTCATGCTTTACCAATGCTTGTCTAGCGTCTTCAGTGCAGGGCCAGTGACGCGACCTCTTCACCGCCCTGTAAGGGCAACACTTGAACACGACACAGGTTGCCGCTCTCCTGCCCCAACCACCCTCTCCAGCAGCAGTGAGTCCCTCATCTCCCACCTCCCTGGGGGACCATGCTTGCGAGTGATGCGAAGTGTCGACCTGTTTTCTCTCATAAGTGAACAGTTTAAGATTTTTTTTTAAGATTGTATTTATTTATTTGAGGGGGGGGGGTGAGGGAATAAATTCTTTTGTGCTTCTGCATAGTCTTCCTGCCTTACATCCCATGGTATTTCTTTCCCTTCACATCTTAGCTCAGAAAGTAGATCCACCAGTTGCTCATTTAAAGCGAATTTCAAGAAAGCTGCTATTTCACCAGAATCTGGGCACTGTTAGGATGAAACCCAAAGACATGGTGGTACGGCCATGCAGTCCCAACTGTCAGGTGGGGGGAAAGGGTCTATTCGCCTATCTGTTGAGGCCCCAGGAACTAACCTGTCTCCAGACACAAATACATGAGTCTCATTTGGCAGATGTGAATAGGCGATGCTCTTAGAAAACTGCTGCAGTCCTCAATGAAAAAAAAAAATCTAAATGGCCCATGCAAAGAGTGTCCGTGCCTGCCGTGTCCCCTATTAACCAAGTTCATGGTTCCCTGTCCATGCTAACCGCATGTTAGGAACACTGCTCCTTCTTACATTTGGATACTGGAAACTGCCCGATGTTTTTTTTTTTTTTCCATGTTTCTTCTTTATATTCACTTAAACATCTGTGCCAAGAATTTGAAATGCTGCCAACATGTAACTGTGGAGTTAAGAAAACCAGAACCCTATTGTCATAAACGTGCCAAATGGTGCTGGTTGCGCTACTAAATTCTACAGAACCATTGTGGTAATAATTTTTCAAAACAAAGCCCAATAATATTCAGAGTGCAACAGTTACCACAATAAATCATAGTTCTTTACTTGGCAAAGCATGCCCCCCCCCCTTTTTTTTTTCCTGAGGGTTATATATCTTGGGAACTCGTGTGGACTTAGCTGTTTAATGAAACATTACATGAAAAGATAACATTCACTAGGAGCTCAAGTCCACCCAGCTGACATCCACACAGTTGGATCAAGGCTTCGTGCAGCTGTTTTCAGGGCAAGGCAAGACTGAAGAAGTCCTCTTTTTTCTGAGTCTTAACCTTAAAATAAAAGCTCTGTTCTGAAATCATACATTGAATTCACCACCATAAGGGGATATACAGAATATATGGTTCCCTGGGAGTTTATGGGCACATTTCTAGATTACTTTTTCCCTTGAGGGACAGGAAATCTATCTAGGACCCCTAAGTGTGTGTAAGTGAGCTCATTCCTCCGTGTGTGTGTGTGTGTGTGTGTGTGTGTGTGTGTCCTTCTCTAAAAGGAGATAATGAGCCAAGGCCAGAGCAGAGAAATGAAAGTAATTAGAGGCACATGGTTGAGGGTTCCTGATGTAAAACCAGGCCTCAAGGACAAGCTGGTCTAGAAAGGAACGGTGTACCACAGACAGTGGCAGCTTAAAAAAAAAAAAAAAATGAATGAACAGGAGAGAAGTCACACAGAATGTGATCCTTGAACCAATCCGAAGACACTTCCCCTTCCTTTAGGAGACAGTGAGGACCTTGTCCAGGACGCGTCCAATTCATTATCAACTTCCAGCCAGAAGAAATCAGATCTTTCTGAGTACTGGCTACCTCTCTGGGGTCCACTCCTGGGTGTAGGGCAGCTGCAGGAAACTCACAGATAATCCTCCCGTCACTTCCTTTTCCAAACTTCAAGTCCTCAGAACCCCTCAGTCCATTTGCTCAAAGCGCTGCTGACAGCTGCTCCTTAAATGAGAAGTGATTTTAATCTCAATACAGCCTTAATTATGTAATTTAGGCATTTAGGCAGGAAAAAAAATACACAGCAAGATTCCAAAAAGTTATTTTTAACCTGATTTATGCAAATACTCTCCATGACCAGTTTCACAAAATACTGTAAACTAACCAGCCCTCTCTCCTAGTTTGCTCTTCCTTCCAGGTCTGACAAGCAATGGACCAGAGTCGGCCACGTGTACATCTCCCTTTCTCCGAATTTAAGGGGGAAGCTTTTATTTAGTATAAGTGTGAACATAGTCACCTTGTGGGGTTTTTTTTTTCTTGCCCCCACTAAGAGGACATGACGCACAAGGGCCGGTGGGTAATTCTGATCAGGGATTCTTCAGCGTATTAACTAAAGATGGTTGTTTTCGTGGAATTGTGGCAAACCGTCCCATCTTGAGGTATGGGAGGAACTCACCTGTGGATGAGAGCAACCAGCAGTTGTCCGTCGCAGGTGAGGAGCAGAGCTAAGGAACTGCCACGAAGCCATGGTAGAGGGGACTTGGGTTTCAATCACAGAGACAAACCCTTGCCATTAGGGCTGGCATCACAAAGGTGCCTTTCCATGGGAGGCAGGGAGTAGAACCTTCTTAGGGAGGACCTAGAGGGACGTCAGCTCATTTGAAAGTGCAGGGTGTGCAAGGTGCTCCCGCAAGCCCTTCCTGGGTCTATAATTCAGAGATTTCTACTGAGCTTAGAAATGATTCCACAACTGGGGACAAGATGGGTACAAGGTTTTGGGAGAGGACTTGAGTTGCCTTCATGTTCTCGAGGCCTCCCAGAAGGCAGATCCGGAGAGTTTGTCTAATTTGGAGGACAAGTCCATGATACTGTGAAAGGAAGCGTGCTGTCTATCCTGTAAAATACTTGAAAATACATTCCACGGTTGAGTTCTTGTCCCTTGTCAGGGAAAGCAGAGGGAAACGAGACATGGAACCTCCCTCAACAGGCACCTGGTACTCTGCAAAGCAACCTCCAGGCCAGCAGCCTTGCAGTGCAGTCCGGGAAGACCAACCCTTCCCCAATCCCCCCAGCAGCACACCTAGGCTTCCCTGGGGTATTATTTTTCACCC